AGCCCCTCACAGAGTCACTTAGTGCCCCCCGCCCAGCCTCACAAGGTGCCTGAGCCTGCTGCAGAGCCCCCCTTGCCCCTGCAGCCTATTGTCACAATTGCCCATTTGTTGCCCATGTATTGTCAAGACTGCCACTTTTCCGTGTACGTACTATCAGGGCAGCGCTGTCACTAACAAACCACACCACTATTATCTCAATGTTTTAGGGCTTGTTCACACCAGCAGCCACTCTCAACCGCACGGCTCCTGGTGTGCATGAGCCCAGACAGTGCTGATGCACTTGATCAAGCTTCATTGCACTGTTTTTTTTCCCGACTTTATTGAAATGTCACAAGTGCCATTTCATTAAGTTCTATGGGCACACCGTTGGGGCGAGGCTTTTGTACTGCATGTTACGGCGGTGCAAGTAGTGCATGCCAGTGATGTGAACTGTGCCCACCCTTGACAAAGCAAATTGCCTTGTCTTGCATTCAGGCTGTGCTGGCCATTTTTTCCAAATGCATATGGTGGCCCTCAATGTTTCCTTGTCAGCTACTATTAAACACTTTAATTGGCCAGGGCACCTTATTCACTGATTGGTTATTAGGGGTGACTTAGGGCATTTCATAATGCTTGCAAAGAAACCTAGAAAGGTTTTTTTTTTAAGGTTTGTTCTTTTTTTCAAGCAGATTTTGTCTAAACAAGCTACATAGTGAAACTTCTACAAAATTGCTACTTTTGTGGATCAATCAGTTTTGTTTCTTTCAGCACATGCTAATATAATTTTAAAGCCGTTTTCCATCGTTTTAAATATGCAGCTTTCATAAAGATCCTTGTTAAGGCCATTGGTGTAACAATAGCCATAGCAGTCCATGCAGCTACTATGAGGCCTGGGGTGGAAGGGGCCCTATTAGGTTGAGGCAAGATTTTCTAAACATAGAAATTAGGGATGCACCGATATATCGGCCGCCGAAACATATCGGCCGAAAATTGCACTTTTGGTATAATGCCGAAAGAGCCATGTTTCGGCCGATACATCAGGTCATTCTGGTTTCTTTTCTCCCCGCTGGGCGCTGTTCCAGCGGGGAGAAAAGAAAGTGACAGCCGCCGAGCGCTGCAGGAGTCAGGACGAGAGCGCTGTGAGCTGCGACATCTCTCCTCCCACACCGCTCAGCCGCCTATCACAGTCCGGCAGAGCGGTGTGTGGGCGGAGACATCGCTGTCACAGGAGGCTGGGCTTTCCTCTCTACACGGCTCGCTCAGCCTCCTGTGACAGCGTGTCAGAGAGAAAAGCAAGGTACACACACTCAGTGATCAGTGATTGCTGAGTGTGTGTACATAATTGAGGATATGGCATGTTAACTATATCCTCAATTATGAATGAATGGGAGTGATTTACATCACCCCCATTCATTCATAATTGTAGTTATAGTAAACATGCCATGTACTCATGTTATCAATGAACAGGAACACTCATAAAGGATTCTTGTTCATTGATAACAGGGGACACAGAAAAAGAGATTGAGGACTCTGTGTTCTCAATCTCTTTTTCTATTTTAAAAGGGAAATATCAGGGGTCTGTTTAGACCCCTAATATTTCCCCCGAAGCCCCTAAAAGTAAAGTAAAAAATAAAAATATTTAATAAAAAATGAATTAATAAATAAAAATAAATATAAAAAAATGTAAGTTTATAAAAAAAAATTGAAAAAATAAAAATAAAAAACATTTTCGGTATCGGTTTCGGTCTGACATTTTTTTCTATTTCGGTTTCGTTTCGGTTTTAAAAATTCCATTTCGGTGCACCTCTAATAGAAATTCTGTATGCATGTGAAGATAACACGTCCAATCAGCTCTTTGTTGTCCAGCCTGCCTCCTACTCTTTCCATCCTGAAATATGCCCTCACTACCTCTCCTTCTCACAATAGTGTTATCTGTCCTTAGTGTAGTTCCACTTTTGCAGTCATATTATTAATCCCACCCTCCATTTTCTGGCTTCTTCTTTTTCTTCTTCTTCTTCTTCCCACAGTCTTTACTGCCCTATTCCTATACTCCTTCTTGGTTACTTTCATGCTCCCTTAGAGGTCAGGTTTAATCAGAATACATATTTACACTATGTTGCCTTAGCTCCTTGGGACTACTTACCATTCAGTCCCCCATGCTATAATTGTTTCTATGTTACAATGCAATTGATACTTCAATTTAATTACAGATGCATGCAACTTTTCCTACCTCTGTACTCCCCCCTTTCAGATATTGCAAATTCTGTTCTATTAGTTCTGTCTTGTGTTATTTTTATTTTTTTAAAGCCCCATGATCTGTGGTAATGCCCCTGGGGTTTGGTATGTATTTTGGAAGCCATGCCATTTTTAAAAAAAGAAACTGTTCGGGAAATGTAATTTAGTGACAATTTTTTTTCCTATAGTACGCCACTTTACAGGCAGGTTTAGGGCCTCACCCAAGCATGTTAATTAAAGGAATTTTGTATTTTTTCTAGGGATGCACCGATACTGAATTATCGGTATCTAGTACAAATTCCGATATATTTTGTTTTGGTACTCGCCAATACCGAACACCAATACCAGAAGTCCCATTAAGCAAGTCGGGAAGGCGTGTAATTACTCACCACCTGGCTTTCTGGCCAATCAGGAAGCTGGGGGCGAGTAATGACTCACCTCCCGGGCTTCCTTATAGGCCAGCTTCCTGTTGCTGACTGTAACTATGTCTTTTGAGCACTAGATGGCGCTGTAGTGTGAGTCTAGTCAATACTAGTTTTTCTATATGCATGCTTCTATCTATGAATTATAGGTTTCCTGTTTGATGTTGTAATCCTGTATACATGTATGCAACGTTCTTATAAGCAAGTAAAACTTGATTCAGCATTCCTCCTGCAACTACCAGCAGCGTCAAATCCAAAACTAGTTGGATTTGCGGATGCTGACTGGGCCGGAGACTGCACAGACCGCAAACCCAGAAGTGGTTACATCTTCCAGTAAGGGGAAGGAACCATAAGTTGATCTAGCCAAAAGCTAACTGTTGCACTTTCCTCAATTGAAGCTTAAACACAGCATTGAACACCAATACCAGAAGTCCCATTAAGCAAGTCGGGAAGGCGTGTAATTACTCACCACCTGGCTTTCTGGCCAATCAGGAAGCTGGGGGCGAGTAATGACTCACCTCCCGGGCTTCCTTATAGGCCAGCTTCCTGTTGCTGACTGTAACTATGTCTTTTGAGCACTAGATGGCGCTGTAGTGTGAGTCTAGTCAATACTAGTTTTTCTATATGCATGCTTCTATCTATGAATTATAGGTTTCCTGTTTGATGTTGTAATCCTGTATACATGTATGCAACGTTCTTATAAGCAAGTAAAACTTGATTCAGCATTCCTCCTGCAACTACCAGCAGCGTCAAATCCAAAACTAGTTGGATTTGCAGATGCTGACTGGGCCGGAGACTGCACAGACCGCAAACCCAGAAGTGGTTACATCTTCCAGTAAGGGGAAGGAACCATAAGTTGATCTAGCCAAAAGCTAACTGTTGCACTTTCCTCAATTGAAGCTGAAACACAGCAGCAGCACACGTTTGTCAAGAAGCAATATGAATTTGCTAGCTTTTAATGGACATGGACGTAGACATGTCAAACCACATCCCAATCTTTGAAGACAAGCAAGGATTTATAAAGCTGACACAATCAGAAAGGGTCAACTCTACAACCAAGCACATCGACGTGAAGTATCCTCTGCTTAGGGACAATAAAGAGACAGCTATTTTGGGCATGCAATATTGCTCATCAGACGAAATGACTGCGGACGCACTCACCAAGCCACCACTGTCAAAGGACCGTTACAGTTACCTTCGAGAGAAGCTAAAAGTCATATAGCAACGCATATGCTGTTGAGAAGGGGTGTTGGAGATGCAACAGCATACTGATTGTGTTGCTGACTGTAACTATGTCTCTTGAGCACTAGATGGCGCTGTGGTGCGAGTCTAGTCATTATTGGTTTTTCTATATGCATGCTTCTATGAATTATATGTTTCCTTGTTGCTGCTGTAATCCTGTGTACATGTATGCAACGTTTGTCTAAGCATGTAAAACTTTATTCAGCATTCCTCAAGATCTCAGTGCTTCATCTGAAAACATAACCAACACAAATTATGTGTGAATCAAAGCCAGGCAGATTAATTCATCACTACGCCTGGCTTCAATGATCAAAGTCACTTAGAATGTATTCTAATTTTTGGTCAAGCAACACCTGAACATCTTGGCCATGTTTAGAATCCTAGATTGTTCACTTCTCCTGCCTTCTCCAAACTCTGCACCCTTTAGTGAAGTGACCTGTATATATTCTTGTATTAGAACATTGTGATTGTATGGGTGGGGTTAGTAGCCAATAAATCTTTACATTTCAAACTTTCTGCATTAATCGATGGCTAACACAACACGAGACTGTCCTACTAGCATATATACTGTATATTACAAACTTTACAATAGGGTGGAGAGTGAAGAATAGGTGACCTGCTTAACCTCTGCTGTCAAGTACAGGATCCATTCTCCTTCCTAGCCCTGTATTGTTCTTGTCCATGTGCCCTTCAGAAGTCCCATGTAGGACAACGCCAGGCGTACGTGGCCGGAGCAGCGTACTCCTTCATCATTCTTGTTCCAGGGGGTCACTTGAGTGATAAGACAGATTAGGAGTCATTTGGGATGCAAATAACAATCCTTGCAAATGAGCATAACATACTTGACATTCCATAGCCTTGGTTTCAGATTTCACCTTCTTACAACTCGTGACCAATTAAAATAATGGCAGCCGGCAACACACAGCCTGGATTTATCACAGGGCTATTGATAGCTAACCAAAGTCAACAGCCCCCAGCTGCAGTCCAGACCAGATTATTAGGATTTCGTTTGAGCTAGGTCACGTGGGTCTCACATCATATGGGCCTTTAGTAAGCCCTCTAGGTGTGTATAAAGGCAGGGCTGGACTTCCAAGGGCAGACATCAGCTACTGAGTGCAGGTGCAGAACACACAGACCTCAAAGTGACAAGATGGGCCTTTCCGATAGTGAGAAGTCTGCCGTTGCTTCCCTTTGGGAGAAGATCGCTCCTCAGTCCAGCAAACTGGGTGCGGAGTCCATGGAAAGGTAAAACCGGGTACTGATTGGGTGGGCATATGGTGTACTGGGCACTTTTTGGGTGGCCATATGGTGTACTAGGCATTATTCGGGTGGGCATATGGTATACTGGGCACAGAGTGGGCTTCTCATACACTGGACATTGACACTATGGGTCTAGTGCACATGAACATCTAATGGGTACATCTACAGAGAAATTATGGTTAATTTCCAGTGTGCACGGATTGCAATTCTAAACCCAAGAACAAAAATGTTACATATTGATGATTACCAGTCCTTAGATGCTATATTATTTTATTGTTGTTTTTCCCTTTTTTTTTACCCTCATTGATCCTGCCAGTAACACCCCCCGTTCCTGACATAGGAGGATGTGTTTTTTGCAGTTTACAGGGAGAACTATAAACAATTCTAACCTTCAGCACAGGCAGAGAGCACAGGAATGTATCAGCTCACTTGATTTTGGCACGATAACCAGAGAATTCCAATACTTCAGACTTTATTAAAACTCACAGCAAATCCATAGTAACAGTGTATGTAACAGCAAATCCTAGCACCGCAAACCCCCATCCAGCTAAAACCTCTCACATGTTTTACCCGTAGACTTATTCATAGAAGTAACAAATAAAGGCCAGTATAAAAACTTCTCCATACTACACAGATGCAGGAAGCAATGCTCATTGATCTGGTTAACTCTAAACTAGCCGGTGTATATGGGTCAGTAGTAGGGTTGCCACCTGTCCGGGATTCACCCGGACAGTCCGGGTTTTGAATGCTCTGTCTGGGTTTCATGGCAGCAGAAACCCGGACACAGGATGTCAGGCAGACAGGGGCAACCAAAATTAAGATAGGGGCTACTGGCCCCCCCACTGAAAATAGTCTTAACTGTGATATTTACATATGAATGGGCTGAGCTATTACATATGAATAAGCCACCACTCATTCTCCCCCAAAAAATTCTGCTCGTCGTTTGAGTTGAAGAAAAGGTGGCAGCCCTAGTCAGTAGAGCACAAACTACTTATGCATTATACATATTATAATCTCCAAACCAACAACACCAAATGAAGTCATGTGAAACTGTGCACAAACGAAATATAAATAAAATAAATATCAAACTCTCTTGAAGATGCATATAACTGTACAAGTGTAGAAACAAAGATACCCTGTTTCCCCAAAAATAAGACCTACCCCGAAAATAAGACCTAGTACTATTTTTGGGAATTGCTAAAATATAAGACCTACCCCGAAAATAAGACCTAGTTATGACCATTCCCAGGGCCGGTGGTGGCATAAGGGGGAACTTGAAGAGCCGCGGTAGAGAATCGGCCAACGAAGCCAGCGCTAGAGGAAGCGAGGCGGCAGTGGAGGGAGCAGAGCCGCACAAGCCGATGCCTCCTCTATAGCGCCGACTCCTGTCACTGGCAGAGTGATACCAAATGCACTCCGCCTGTGAGGAATCGATAGTGAAAGCGCGCTTCGCTCATTCTGGCCAGCGATTGGCTAGCAAATTGCTCTTGGAAAGGTACGGCACCCCTGATCACCATATTTTTGTATATGAATAAGTGTGGATGGATTGTACATTAAAAAAAAATAAGACCTAGTGTGTTTTTTTGAGCCAAAAGAAATATAAGACAGTGTCTTATTTTCGGGGAAACACGGTATATGCATGCATTCACTTAATTGTGTATGTAACAGAGGAGTAGCTCATTTCACCTGAATAGATTGAGATATCAGTTCTATCCAACACATAGAACTTAGTCACCATAAAGATATATACATAGATAGATATCTATCTCTACCTATAGATAGATAGATAGATAGATAGATAGATAGATAGATAGATAGATAGATAGATATTAGTAAAACTACAATAATGTGTGAGTGAGATATATCTATATCTATCTCTGAATCCACAAATGTGAAAAAAGTGCAGGTGGATGTTGAAAACAATCAATGTATAAATATAATCACAAACTAGCCTCTTATTAATAATGTTTACCCATGTAGAAAATATCTAATATAAAACCTTCTCAAACATCCATAATGTTAAATCAATACTCTAAATATGAAGAGGATTTAAAATACTTCATCAGGGAAACAGTTTATTTCTTAGTGACCCATCATTTTTTATTTTTGTTTGGTCAATATTATCCGCAAAGATGCGACACCTCTATGGGTGCGAAATTTGCGCCAACCTATATATGAATTGGTGGGAGGAGCGCAGCATCTTTGCAGATAACCCAATTCCTGATCAGATATTTTTTGTGCTCGATTATCTTTATGGCGACTAAAGGTGGCCATACACCTGTCGATTATCGTACGATAATCGCGGGAAATCCCGCGACCGTACGATAATCGGCAGGTGTGTTGAAGGCGTGCGACCGTTTCTACTGTACGGTCGCACGTCTTGCATGTTTGAAAACCAGCCGAAAATCGTACGATGGCCAGCTTAAAGGATTTTCAGTGGGGGGGCCAGTAGCCCCTATCTTAATTTTGGTTGCCCCTGTCTGCCTGACATCCTGTGTCCGGGTTTCTGCTGCCATGAAACCCAGACAGAGCATTCAAAACCCGGATCTATCTATCTATCTATCTATCTATCTATCTATCTCATATCTATCTATCTATCTATCTATCTATCTATCTATCTATCTATCTATCTCATATCTATCTATCTATCTATCTATCTATCTATCTATCTATCTATCTATCTATCTCATGACTATAATTCCCATATTATCTATAAAGTTGAGCTCCAAGAATCTCTGCTGACAGGGGGAGAGAGTAGGGTTGCCACCTTTTCTTCCAGCGAAACCCGAACACTCTAGCAAAGCACGGAATTTTTTTGGGAGATTGAGTAACGGCTTATTCATATGTTAATAGCGCCACCCATTCATATGTAAATATCACAGTCCAGACTATTTTCAGTGGGGGCCAATAAGCCTCTATCTTAATTTTGGTTGCCCCTGTCTGCCTGACATCTTTTGTCTGGGTTTCAGCTGCCATGAAACCTGGACACAGCATTCAAGACCCCTGACTGTCCGGGTGAATCCCGGACAGGTGGCAACCCTAGGAGAGAGCAGAGTGAGCTGAGCAGTATTTCCCTTGTGCGTTTAGCCGTTTGACTTGAGTTTAGCTTTAACCAAACATCCCAATTAATGTTGGTTCAGTATTTCAGGGTCAGTAACGTGCTCCATTGCTCTACTAGGTATCCTATTAGGACTGTTAATATTTAACTGGTATACAGTACCTTGAAACAGGTGGTAAGTATTTTTCTTTTGTAAACCAGATGCTGCTTTCTCTAAAAATGCATTTACCAGAGCGCTCTAGTCTGTAAATCAGATACATTGCAGGAGATACACGGAGGATGGCTGAGAACATTTCTAAATCGCATGATTAATGCAAGAAAGCCCTGTAACATTCTCGACACGGGCGACATGAACTCTTATAATGGCATCTTTCCAGATAATGTGCTGTTGGTGATGAAAGATAATTATTGGATCAATTTCATTAAGTCAGCCATAGTAAAAAAAAACATAATGAGATTGAGATCTGGTAAAAAAAGGAACAAGGAAATTGTTTTTTATAACATTTTTCTATAAGGAATCATTCACATCAGTGGCTGTAAACATGGGGAAAGAAGAGGAAGAACGGAAAAAGAGACATACTTTAAGGTAAGTGCTAACATTTACATTGGGGGGAGGAAAACATTTTTTTGCCTTTAATGTCACTTTAAGTTAACAAACATTTGCAGACAGTATTTTTAGGCAACACCGCAACGCAATCTTATAGTATGATAGGGCACATAGGAAACAGTAGTTCTCTGTGTCCTTTCAATAAGCCTGCGTTGATCAATGCGGGTTCAACAGACATGGTGCATAGGAGCCCTTAAAGTGTATATAAAGGTGGCCATACACTATATGAATTTCGGCCAGTTCTTGTTGAACCGGCCGAAATGCGCACAGTGGGCATTCTTTGGTCAGCTAATTGAAGGAGCCAGTCGGAAAAATCTTCAAACAAATAGAGCCGGTAGCCAATGAGCTGCCCATTCTGGTCAGGTATTCTGACGGTGGCTGTTGCCAGAATACATTAAAGACAGCACGAGATTCCTCGATCAATGCTCACAAGCCTTGATGGAGGAATCTTGTTCAGCCCACGGAAAATATTAGTGTATGGCCAGCGTTAGCCTAAGGACAAAAATGTCAAACTGCAGCTCATCAGTCCTTAGAGGTGGTAGCTGCATTAGTTTTCTTTCAGGCTTTTCCCCCTCTTATTCCCATTTATTCTCATCCTGCCAGTAACACACTACCTGTCCTAGGGTGACAACACTCACTCATTGTACGGTATCTATGGAGGATCAGCTTCATCAAACTAGGAAAGGAGTACAGCACACCAAGCCCTCACTTCATTTCTATAAAATGGGGGATGATTACTCCAAAGAGAAACCTGGAAACTGTGCACACGGCAATTCCCTTGAGTATATATGCCCTGCCCCAGCATGCAACACTGGTCATAAGAGCCCCAGAGATTGGGTGGTGAACGGCACACACACTTACAGTGCCCCTCATTGGTTGTGCAGTAGAATCACACTCCACTCAGGCAGGTACAATCAATGCCAGAACACCTGGAATTAACCAGATAATTGCCTATATATATATATTTATATAATCACTTTCAATGGTATATTTAGCAGACCATGACAAGGTAACTAAGAAGATTATTATTAAGGTTTACATATTTTAAAAGAGAAATATGGAGCTGCTGTTGCTATCCTACTAAATATGACACCATTCAAAGAGGACCTTCATTGGACTACATAGGAGGACAGGTGGGGAAATACTGGGCTGTAGAGATGATGAGTATTGCTTGGCAATATTATTGTTTTAAGCAGAAGGGGGTAGGGGACCAACTTTATAAGCTAATTAGACTGGGAGTTGGGCTTTAAATTGTGTAGTTGTTGAAAACCGAGATCCAAGGAGCGATGGTATAATAATATAGTATAGATCATCTGTAGTTCTGATGAGGCTGCATAATATTTTGGCAGTATCTTGAAAGTCTTTTATTTTGCTGATGCCAATCTATGACTTCTTCTCTAGACTGTTCCAGAGCCACCCAGACACAAAATCCTTCTTCAGCCGTTACGACATGAGCCCCGGCTCTGCGGATCTCCTGAGACACGGAGGAAATATCTTTGGTGCTATTGGAGAAGCCACAAAGGGCCTGGACAGCCTAAAGAAGCACCAGGACCTCCACACCAACAAGCTGAAGCTGAGTCAGGACCACATGAAGGTATGTAATTATTCTTATTCATCAGATCTTGCTGTATACAGTATAGTGCTAGTTGGGGGATGAGCAAAATTATGATTTTTGGTTCACCAAATTTCCATGAACATTGGGAAATTTCTGCAAAATTCCACTGTCACTAAAATGCCAAGTCAACGGTACAATTAAGAGGTTTGAAGGATGCAATTGGCTTTAAGAATGCTTACAATCCAGCAATCCTAATAAGATAGTACAAGAATTTGCCACTCATCTAGCAACACTTTATAACTCTACTACTCCATTCGACCCTGACACAGCTTCTAATCTGCTCTCTACAATACAAATGCCAACAATGCCTGTTTCAGCCCGCACATCTCTAGATGCCCCCATTACAGAGTTGGAAGTAGTAGCGGCGATTAAAACGCTTAAACTTAACAAACGGCCTGGCCCTGACGGCTTCACGGCTACCTACTATAAGAAGTTCGCTGAACCTATAGCTCCTATGTTGACAGCCGCATTCAAAACCCCCTGCACCGGATCACAACTCAGGGCAGAGTCCCTCTCGGCCACCATATGCATGATCCCCAAACCAGACGCAGACAACACTCGCTGGGCCAACTTTAGACCGATTTCGCTTCTGAATGTTGACATCAAACTATTAGCCAAAATATTAGCAACCAGACTCAACTTATTTGTCCCAGACCTTATTCATAAAGACCAGGTCGGTTTCATTCCCAGGCGCCAACCAGGAGACAATGTGCGTAGAGCCTGTCTCCTCATCGAAAAAGCTAACCAGAGACATATTCCACTCATGCTTCTCTCATTGGACATGCAAAAGGCCTTTGACTCGTTGTCTTGGTAATACTTATCTTATATACTCAACAAATGGGGCTTAGGACCAGGATTTTGCACCTGGATCGCTGCACTATATTCCAACCCTACAGCCTCAGTGCGATATGCGTGGCATAGATCAAACCATTTTCCCATCCAGAAAGGCACCAGACAGGGATGCCCCCTTTCCCCTATTCTATTTGCCATGGCCAAAGAACCTCTGGCACAACTGATCAGAGAACACCCAGACATCACAGGTATCCCCTTGGCAGGGCACCATCACAAATTATGCTTGTTTGCAGATGATATCTTACTTTTCCTCTCTAACCCCCACATCTCTCTTCCCAATTTACTACACACGGTCGATCGGTTTAGTCACATATCGGGTCTGCATTTAAACCCAGCGAAGTCAAAAGCACTAAATGTTACACTACCACCACTCTTACTTAATCAACTCAAAACGGGATACCCTTAAATGGGAACCGTCCTCACTGAAATACCTGGGCATACAATTAACTCCCCCCTACTCATCCTTATATTCGGCAAATTACCCTCCTCTTTTCACTAAACTTAGAAACCTGCTGGGAATCTGGCATGCCTACCCCATCTCGTGGCTGGGCAGAATTGCGGCGGTCAAAATGACCCTGCTACCTAAGCTATCATACCCATTCCGGGTCCTCCCAGCACCAATACCTTCACATCAATTCAGGGCGTTTCAGAAGCGGATTTCTGCCTTTATATGGTCGCACAAAAAACCAAGGATTCCACAAAAAACTATGCATCAGACCAGATCCACCGGTGGGCTGGGAGTGCCAGATCTCCAGAAATATTATATTGCAGCTCAATTAGCAACAGTGACTAAGTACCATGCCACAGATGAAATTCCATTATGGGTGTCGATCGAGGCTTTGGATTGCGATCCATGCACCATAGACAACCTGTTATAAATGACACCTAAAGACAGATCCACCCTCACTAACGCCATAACCCACCACTCCCTTCGCGTCTGGGATAACTGTAAATACTCCAGCGGCTTCCTGTCCCCCCATCTGCCCATGCTCTCCTTCCTTCACCATCTGGCCTTTCCACCAGCATATGATTGCACAGCCGTCTTTCATAAATGGAAAGAAAAGGGAATTACCCGCCTCTCCTCCATGTTCTCCCACTCCATGATCTTGCCTTTCCCAGACCTCCAAACTAAATATGAGCTCCCATCCTCTGAAATTTTTAGATACCTACAAATTAAAAGCTTCATACACGCTAATGCTAACCTGACAGGTAACCTTTTGGCATTATCACCCTTTGAAAGACTATGCAAACACGACCCACACTCCCCAGGAATCATCTCACAATTATATCTATCATCCCTACAATCAACCCCATCACCACACCACCTATATATGGACCGCTGGCAGAAAGACCTGAATCTTGACCTCTCAGAAGACACCTGGTCTCAAATATGGACCTCCACCAACTCTAGCTCAACGTGCGCCAGAGTTTTGGAAACAAATTACAAAGTTCTTCTCCGTTGGTACATCACCCCTTATCAAGCCCTGCATTTTGCGCCAGGCTGCACAGGCTCATGCTTTCGTGGCTGCCCTGACAGCGGCACATATGTTCATATGTGGTGGGCATGTCATGTTACCCAAACATTCTGGTCCAAAGTATTCAAAATGCTCTCTACCCTTGCAGGAGTGCATATTCCACCAACTCCCCAAACGGCGCTACTCAATATCAAACCCATGAACACCTCTCACCTTAAATTTAAATTGGTCTTGCATGTCCTCACAGCCACTAAACATACTATTGCCACCTCATGGTTTACTCACACAATCTCATTTCAATCATTTAAAAATAGGATACACTGGATTTTCTCCAATGAGAAACTATCAGCGCGTTTAATGGACACCACCCAAAAATTTGAGAGAATTTGGGATCCTTGGATACGACATTACCTCCCACCTTCCTTTGATAACCGTTTGCTTACCCTATAACAGTTCCCCAGCTATTAATATTGCTACCTCACTAAACATAACAACCAGGGTGCTTGTTGAAATTCTCGCCACGACTACACTCACTCCCCTTCCCCTCCCCTCCAACTCCCCCCCTTTTCTTACACTCATTTGTTCTGTTTTCCTATTATTATTTTTATTTTTTGACATTGTACTCATTCTTGCTGCCTGGACCCAGGAAGACCAAGTCCACTCATGCCCTGGACGCAGCTTGAGCGCACGTTGCAATACTATATGACTGAAATATGTTCACTTAATTTTATAAGCGCAAAAAACACTGTTTGTACAACTTTTATGTGTGGACACTCTATGTTGGAGTGTTCGTGCAGTTTGTAACTGAATTTATATGTGTGAAAAAAACAATAAAAATCTTTTGAAACTAAAAAAAAAAAGAATGCTTACAATGTTTACAGAGGCTTCTTTCAACTGTCCTGGACCTGTTCGCTTGCGGATTCTTGATATCCCTCAAAGGTAGTGATGACCTTGGGCTTGGTGCAAATCCAGTTCACCCAAGCCTGTTCAAAACGGGCCCAATTCTCTGCACCATAGCTGCATGTCCCAAAGAGAGGCAGAATGCCCTTGCTGCAGTTGCCACCACTGATTTGGTCAGTTTTGAGAACTTGGGTGTACTCAAGCCCAAGCTCATCCCTTCCTGTGAGTGCTATCAGGAATCCGTGAGTGAATGGGTCCATGATAGATGAAAGAAGCCTTTGTAAACCTCACAAGCCTTATGAAGCCCGTTCCATCCATTAAAAAAATGGATTACAGGTCCTGTGCCTCTTACACTGGCATTGGGTGGTGGCAACCTCCATGTTCCATTTTCTCCTTTCGATTCCACAAGTGTGAACTGCACATTGCTAACACCATAGAGCTTGAACAAAAGGAATGATCTGGCAGCCACAAAGAAACTCCACCCACGGCCTCCCTTTGGCACATGTGCCCCCTATTGGGGCTTGAATATAGAGCATGAGGAGTAGGGAAGAATAGAAGTGTGTGTGTGTATGTGTATATATATATACACACACACACATTTTGAAAATTATGGACCTGTTCTTAAGGCAAGAAATATCCCCTCATAAGCCTCAGTATTTTACTTTTTATTACAAAATTTTTAAAAGTGACCAAAAAAGTTCAATAGAAATTGTGCACAAAAACTATAAAGTACACAAAGAAAAAACAAATCCAAAAAAACCTGAAACTACCCTAAATACACCTCCAAAATTCAGCTGAAATAAGTCAACTTATCCATAATACTGGTCAACATCCATGTAGACGGTGCTCAGAAGTTCTCACCAGGTTGATGTGCTCCTCAGCCCCAATGTTTCATTGTTTGTTTTTATATCCACAGCTGATATCTATCGCTATCGTGGAGGTTTTGTCTTCCCACTTTGGAGGTGATTTCAATCAAGCTGCCTGGGAAAAGTTCCTTTCGGAAGTCGGCGCTATCCTGACTTCCAGCTAATCGTCTGGTTTTCTGAACAAAGCGGCTCCTAAAAATCCAATATGGCTGTGATAACTCTTCAGGGAAGGGTGCTTGAACACAAGTGCTGATTGACTTCAATGTTTAGTTTCCACCCGGTCCTCTCTGCATGCTTGACACTGTCTACCTCCCCTCTAGTGTTTTTATTTTTGAAAGTTTACTCCTAACATTTACTATAACACATTAATTGTAATATAAATGTAAATGTAGCACCGAGCAGCGTCTAATGTAACCTCAAATAAAAATAAAAAAACCTGATGTTTGCTGTCCTCCTATTTCCGAGTCTCCTGTCACTTGAGTGTATTGTGGAAGGAAATGTGTACTTAAAGGAGAACTATGGGGCTAGTGCTTTTCCCCATAGTTCTCGTAAGGGTAACGGGAGGACATAAACTAGCGTCCTCCCGTCACCCTAAGCTACAACTCGCGGTATGAGTGAAAAGCACTCACCTCATAGTTCTCCTTTAATGCTGAGCTCCAGGCAAAAAAATCTAAATGCATAAGGAGCTTCTTCTTTTTTTGTACCAAATGATTTGCGTTTCCCTCTATCCCAGCCTGAGAATTACACAGGTCTGTCACACAGCATAGTCCTACCTGACAGATTTAGCCCCTCACCTTCCGGCTTGAAAAAGAAGACCTGGCTCATCGAAACGCGTAGCCGCAACAACGTTCACCTGCCCACACTTGCCTTCTCCCCGAGAGTCAGCGTTCGTCGCCCCGGGCGTCCCTGCTCGCACCCTCGAGCGCTGAAGTCACATCACTCCCACTGACTCTCCCGGCTCTGCCGCCTGCAGCGTCTATCTCCTGGCAACTGCCGATCCCAGCCTTCTCCGCTCTCTGTGCCCGCCCGCCTTCAGCCGTCCTCTCTCCCCCTGACTCCCCGGGCGTCCCTGCTCGCACCCTCGAGCGCTGAAGTCACATCACTCCCACTGACTCTCCCGGCTCTGCCGCCTGCAGCGTCTATCTCCTGGCAACTGCCTATCACAGCCTTCTCCGCTCTCTGTGCCCGCCCGCCTTCAGCCGTCCTCTCTCCCCCTGACACACCGCTCGTTGTCTCGGGCTGGCTTGCTCGTGCCCTCGAGCGTTGGAGTCTCAACACTCCCATCAGCGATCCTTTGCTGGACACTTCGGGCTCCATCCCAGTCTCTTCCCCCCCACACACACCCGATCCGCACAGTGCATATACCCACACTGACCTGACACTTCCAGTCACCAGACCCATCAATCTTAAGCAGCAACACAGTGCACACCAGCTGCACCATACCCCCCTCAGTCCCAACATCATCCAATAGCCCATGTCCACCCGTGCCTGTCACCCCCCTCCCATGCACTAATCGGACCCTGGCTCCCACCACCATCCAGCACCCCCTAAACCCTCAATTCCCCCTGACCTTCCCACAAGCACAATTGATTGCTCATAATCCCCACCAGTGGAGGTTCCCCATCCATCCACCCCTCATCGATGATATTGCATCAGCTATTACTTTTTGGTAAGTTTTTCAATTTTGCATAAATCCAATTACTTATGGTAGTAGCGCTTCTATCCCCATTTTTTGTTCTCCCTGACAGATTTTGCTGCAGGTCTTGTCCTGACTTGTAACCATTATGTGTTCATAATGGTGACCGAAAGTAAAGATGGGTCAATAATAGGGTCTAAAAGTGAGGAATTGTCCACAATGAGGACAAGATGCAAAGAGTTGTCTACAAAGAGGACTAGATTTGAAGAATTGTCTACAATCGGGAGAGGAAGTGAGAAATTGCCAACAATGGGGACAAGAAGTAAAGAAATAGAAGAGTGTCGTCTGCGTACAGAGCGATCTTCTCTTCAAGCCCGCCCCTTCTAAAACCCACCACGTCTGGTGAAGACCTAATTAAAGCCGCTAGCGGTTCAATGGCCAGAGCAAAGGGGAGAGGGGGCAGCCATGTCTGGTACCTCTGTGGAGTGGAAATTTGTGGGATAGGGAGCCGTTGACCCTCACACATGCCATAGGAGAAAAATAAAGAAGTTTAACCCACTTACAAAACTGGGGTCCAAACCCAAATGAGGTTAGTACAGCCCATAGATAGCGCCATTCGACATTATCAAAGGCCTTCGCAATGTCCAAGGCCAATAGCGCATTATTACCTGTATTGTCAATGGGAATTTGCATATTCATGTACACTCTACGAATATTAACTGCAGTCGATTTATTCAGGAGAAAGCTGGATTGGTCAGGGTGAATAATGGACGTAATTTTAGCCAATATTTTGACGTCTGTATTAAGGAGGGAAATAGGCCGGTAGGAGTTTGGCAGGAGCGGGTCCTTGTTTTTTTTGGGCAGAACCACAATAGTGGCATCATACATGGAGGATGGCAAGTGCCCTACTTCCAAACGTCTGGTGTAGAGTAGGAATTACAGAACTTCCATATTTTTTATACACCTCAATGGGGAGACCATCGGGACCAGGAGTCTTGCCGTTTGGGAAGCTGGCAACCGCCCTCTCCATCTCTTCCTGAGTGATCGGAGCCTCCAGATCCGAACAATCAGAGACAGACAGGGCTGGCAGGGGGATCCTGGACAAGTAAGTACCTAAGTCCAAATCTGAGTAGTCGGCTCCAGATGAGTACAGTGTGGTGTAAAATTTAGAGAATACCTCCCGAATCTGCCTCCCATCCGAGATGATAGCATTATCACAGTCCCTAATGGAACCTATATAGGAAACAGTTTGTTGTGATCTCGCTATCTGAGCCAGAAACCTGCCAGTCAACTCACCCTCCGCCCAATAGGACTGATTCATCAAAAAGGATTTATACCCAGATTTCCGTTTGACCAAACCTTCCAAAGCCTCTGTAGCAGCAGTCCACTCATTACGAGTGAGAGTAGAGGGGTTGTGGACGTAAGCCCGTTCAGTATCTGTCACTGCCTGTCGAGCATCCACTTCCTCCCTCCTAGACTTGGTTTTGATAATGCTAACACGGTGGATAAACAGACCTCGCAGGAAGGCTTTAAGAGTATCCCAGACAACTAGTACGGAGGCGGAGGGTAGGTTGATGGACAGAAAGAATGAAATATCAGCCTCCAGGGGCCTATCAGCCAGGATCAGCGTCAGCCAGAAAGGATTGAGGCGCCAGGGGGCTGAGGATAGTGGATGCTCAAAAGAGAGTCGCACAACTATCAGAGAGTAGTCTGACAGGCATCTGGGTTGAACAGTAACTTCAGAGATGAGAGGCAGGGATTCAGACGTAGCGAGTACATAATCGATACGAGAAAGTGTGCTATGAGTTTTGGAGTGACATGTATATTGGGATTCAGTCGGGTGTCTAGTACGCCATACAGCTATCAAACCCATCTCCGCACACAGCTTTGCAAATGCTGTCTGCGAAGGACCTCCTCCAGTACTAGGGAATCTATCAAGAGCAAGATCCATATGGTTGTTAAAGTCACCCACCACCAAAACGGGGATGGGGAGCTTATCAGCCAGAAATGTGGCAAGGTCCTTAAGAACCGCATTAGTGTAAAGGGGGGGGGTATATATACATTAGCAATAACACAGTCCCTTCCGAATACACATCAATGGAGAAATACATAGCGACCACCACTATCCACCCTCACCCACCTACAGGAGAACGAGACATTCAAATGTACTAGGATGGACACTACTCTGGCATAAGTGGAGAAGCAGGAGTGAAAAGCCTGTTGACAGAATTTACGTTTTTTAACATCACCTAGTCCCCGGACATTCCAGGATACAAGTCCTAAATTACATGCTGACATTATAAAAGTTCCATAAAAATGAAAAAGGACGGCATATCAAAAACATGGTCCAATGAACAAAAAGGAAAAATAAAATTAGTTACACATAAGGGCTCTGGTGTGGTAGAGAATGCTGGTTCCCACTGAGCCGAACGAGTATCCATGCATGGTCCTTGCCGTGGGAGAAGCCTCAGGCCTTGGTGATTACACGAACCTGCAAAACGCAAACAGAAACAAAACAAAAGAAAACAAACATTCCACTTGGGAGAAAAACTGGGGGAAAAACTCCTCTGGAGGCTCCGACAATGGAGATGGTAGAATCCATTAGAGCTGCAAAGGTAGTGCTACCAAACCGTGGGGGGGATGCACTCATCTAAATATGAGGTATGTTGAGATCCTCGAATTATGGCCAGGCCACAGATATCCCAACCAGCGTTGAAAAGGAAGAAATATCCCAATTATGACCACAGGGTTCGCCACATCAGGTTTTAGTCGTTTTTTTCTTTGTAAATGTATCCAGCCAGGATGAAGCTTGAAAGGGAATCTCAAAGAATTTATCCTTAGTGGTGAGACATGTTGTTTTACATGCTGGTTTGTGAGTGTGCCATGATGCCTTTCTACTGTTTTACTGTTCAAAGCCCATTTCGTGTGCACCTTACTGTATAACTGGTAACAAATTGTTGAGTGCGTTTGTCGTTTGTTTTGTTTTTCTCAAAGAAAGGAGTCTCGCCGTCAGCCACGATTCTAAGTCTAACAGGGTAGAGCATCGAGTAGGGAAAGTAGCGGTACGATGCATTGCAGATTTAACATCAGCTACCAGGGGAGTAGCAAGATCTTGTTTAATTGTTTGTTTCCCTGGGGTCCCAGTCTCCCTGGCAAATCTCTCCAACCGATCTACAGTGTCCCGGCTGCGTTCGCGCGCCACCTTGTCAGGTGTAAGCAGGGGGCCATGTGCGCCTCTTTCTTACCCGCTTTCTTCATGGCGCAGCGGCGGAGACCTAGATCTAGGCTGTAAGCACACCCGAAGGGGTACCGGAGCAAGTTGCGGATCGCAGCTATCAGAAGGAGTCTTTAAACCAAGGATCAATCAGGATCAATATAAAGAGCTTTCCACCGCACGTCCATCTACATCGAGCCCCAGGCCACGCCCCCCATAACAGGTTATCTCTAAAGGTGACAATTATGGAAGCTGCCATTGCTGACTTTGCAAAACATTAGCTGACTGCCTGTCTGAGTCACTGACCTGGAGCCAACTATGCAAGGGTGTCCCCAGTGCTGTCACAAGGGGAGTGCG